CCCCAAAACCCCAAAACCCCAAAACCCCACATCTAAATCTCCGCTTGAAACTTACACAATCTTACAAATACCATCTCTCAAAGTCTTCTTCATATAAGTTGAAAACCTAGTTTGTCCCGTAGACTCTGAAGCCAGCATGAACTTGTCTTCGAATAAACGACTCGTGAAGTTTAGCTCTAAAGAAGATAAACAAGTCATGGGAAGAAAGACCTGAAGAGATACTTACTCATCCCTTTAGTTAGAGATTGCAGGATAGAGGCATCACTGGCTTTGATATTTTTCTTGAACACATTTTGGAGTTTCTTGGGGTCAATGGTTTTGAGACTGAGTTTTGTGACGTCGTTGACGATTTTTCTAAATTTCTCTCATTCGTTCTTAGCTTCGGAATTGAGGGAGGTTTCTAACTTGAGCTTCTCTTTGAGAGATTTTTCTATTTCTTCTAGTGTATTCAAAATTGAGTCTTTAATTCCTGAAAAGAAGTAAATAAGGCCTCTGTTAATTCATATCCACTAGTTTAGAGTGATTTTCAATAGAATTTTCAAGTAATTTTAAACCTTTCTCAAGCTCATTGCAGAACTCACTTGCTTCAACAGCTTTGCGTTTTAAGTCTGGTTTATCTTCGATGTCTCACACTTTATGAGCTGCATGCATTGACTCAGTGATTCAATCAGTTCAAATGAAGCAAGAACACTTCTCACAAAATAGCTTTCCTTCTGTTTCGTGATCTGGACACTTTTTGATTAATTTTTGTTTCTTTCTAGTTTTCATATTGTATTCTTTTTGCCTTATTTGGTCTATCATGATATTTCTGACCAAATCCTGACGATACATTCTTTTTCTACAGAAAAATCATTTTGATCCTTGACTGAAGAGTCTGTCCCAGCAGGGACTACAGGCATTATTACCACAAAATCTACAGATCATAAAGGCTTCAGGTTCATTCGAGAGGCAAATAGTTCAACTCAAGATCGCACTTTCTTCTGTATTTTCTACAATAGAATTTTTCTTTTTGTTAGCAATTTCTCTTTTAAATTGACCATTTATAAATCTTCTCGGGGGAGTTGACACCTACAGTACAAACCATAGTTTGTAAAACTTTTAACGATCAAGCCCGGTATATAACATTGGCAAAATATGAAATGAAATTTACAAAAGAAGTCGATACAAATATTTACCTTCATTTCTTCTCCGAACGGTATACTTGGTTGTCGGAGATAATTTGAGGGGCTAATGTTCCCGCCAGTTAAGTCAGATGCATACTGAAATCCAATATCTGATTCTTCAGAGATAGATTCAGATTCAAATTCTAAATGATAAGATTCAAAAGTTTAGGTACCTTCATTAAATTTATTTTCTTCAAAACTTAGAAATCCAGATGTATTTGGCTGAGACAAATATCTTTGTTGGCTATCTCTTGCATTTGGAGTTCTTTCTCCAAATCTTCTGTTAATTTCCATTCCTGGGATTTGTGGTAAATCTTGAAAGAGATCGAGTGTTCTGCCTGAATTAGCTCTCATGTTTATTTAATATATTTTCAACTCCAATAAATAGCTGCGGGGTTTTGGGGTTTTGGGGTTTTGGGG